GGTCTGCCACCCCGGCAGTGCCGCCCCTGCAGCCAGCCAAGTCTCCTCGTCGCTGGCCCCCTGCAGGAAGCTCCTGGCCAAGCCCTTTCTCCTCTTCTCCCTCCATTCCATCGTTTTGGAAGCAAGGTGAAACCCTAACCCCATTCGATTTATGTAATGTGAAGGTTTTAGTCATGGATTTTTATTTCTAGGAGGAGTATGAAGGGTTTAGAAAGGATTTTGATGAGTAAATCGAAGTGATTTTGAATTTCACTGGTTGGATGATTTTGGGGAGAGTGGCAATGCCGCCCATGGGACCATTAATGGCACCCCTAGCAGATTCTAACTGCTATACTCAATCTCATTAAAATGATGAAGTTCAGAATGGATTGGATTCATTTATCAAAATTATTTCTAAAGTTTTTCATACTCAATCTTTCAAATCCATGGCTAGGGTTTCATATATCTATTTTTAGACCGTGATTATGAAATTGTGATGATGGATAGACATTGTTGGAAGTAGAATTTAGCCAGAACGAGAAAGTTGAAAATGAACTAGTGAAGCAACTGAGGGAGGCAGTGTCGGCCTCAGGGGGCGGTAGTGCCGCCCTACCATGTTGATTCCAAATCCAGCAAAGCTTCCTGTGTCATTTTCAAAATTCTTTTTCTTGTTAAAACCTGCTTGCAACTGTTTCTAACTCATTATCTTATACAGTTTCTTATCAAGTCTCATTTAATTGCATAGATGGACCGAGGAAAAAGGAAGGTGATGTCAACTAAGTAAAAGGTCAAGAGAGGCAGGGGACAGGCAAGCTATATTCCCAGTGACAGAAATCTTAGTGAAGACCTTGCTGAAGAAGAAACAATTCAGAGGATGAGAATGACCATTCGTGTGTGGCCTGATTCTCCTCTGCACATTTCAGAGTTTGATAGCAGCTACATGAGAGAAAACACTGATGGGTTCAACCTCAATCCTCCCCAAAACAGTGACAATCATACAGTTCTTGATTATTCCATGAGTTGGAAGAAGACAGGTGAAGCTAGAGAGATTGATCCTTACTCCTCTAACAAGTCCAGTGGCATTGATTATAGATTTTGGAATACTTTCCAATCTGATTTTTATGCCACAACCATCCTGTCTAAGCCAAAGGGCGAGATCAGCAAGATATAGTACATTGATTTTGGTGACTTGGAGAGCAAGGATGATCATGGGTTTGCTGCAGCCATCAAGACCTGTGACCGCTTTGAGATGACAGATATCATGAGTTTCAGGCATGATTGGAACATGGAGATTCTTACACAGTTCCATGCCACTTACTATTTGAATAGGGAAGTGGATGAGCTTCATTGGATGACTGATGGGCGACATTATCGCATTGATTTTGTCATCTTCTATCGTATTCTTGGTTTTGGACACATCCACAGGGGATATGAGAGGATTCATAATGAACGTCGTCTTGAGCCAATGGAAGTAAGCTTCATGTGGGAGAATCAAAATCTTGCAATTCCTGATTGGTCAAGGACTAAGCTCAAGAGCTTCTATTGCATCATGAACAATTTTTTCAGGATCACTCTTAACCCCAAAGATAATGCAACAGATTTGAATGGCTACATCACTAATGTATTGTCTAGGTTTCCCAGTAGTGAAAAGTTTAATGTTCCAAGGTTTATTTGGGTTGAGCTAGCATATGCCATGGATGATGGGAGGAGATCTTTGCCCTATGCTCCTTACCTCATATTTGTGATTGAGAGAGTGACTGGCATGTGGTTTCCTAAGGATTGTGAGTACACTATTTACAAGATCAAAAAGACCCATGGTGGCTTAGGGGGACTTGGGTCAGCTACTCAGCGCACTTGTTCTGGAGGACATGGAGATAGTGGGGCAGCAGGCTTTCACTCTTCTAGAGCTGCACATAGAGATATTCCTGAGCCGCCCAGGGCTAGGGAATAAAAGAAGAAGTCAAAGTGGGGGAAGATGAGTGCATGGATGAAGGCAATCTTTGCTCTGCTCATTGTGCATATGCTTCACAGACTTCTTATGAGGATAGAATGGAAAACATGGAAGTAGTGAGGCATGCTAGGGAAATGGCGGGGCTACCACCCCTTCCACCAGTGCAGTCACCACCTCAGTTTCCTAACTTGCCTCGCCTTTCTTCCTCTGACGAGGAGCAGGATCAGCCACATAAGTACCATTATGAACAGCTAGATGATCAGCAGTATGGGCACTCATATGAGCCATTCAGTCAGTACTACGGGTACCCATAGGGGTAGCATTTTGAGTAGCCCCCAAGGCAGCAGGACCTTGGTGCAGAGATTCACTCTACAGAGGTCGATCCACAGGTTCAGGCAGCCTTGTTTCGCACATATTCTAGGAGACCGCGTCCTTCGACAGATCAGCCAGGTCCTTCTACTTCAGCTGGGGCATCTCCTCCGCGACGTTTAGCACGCTTCACTTCACACACCCACGTCGCAGGACGTACCCGCGTTGACTCCGACAGTGACGAGTGACTTTTCTTCTTTTTCTTCCTTTTTGGTACTTGATGCCAAAGGGGGAGAAAATTAGAGGGGTCAACATATTTTCGATGCCATGAGTTCTCTGTAGCTGCGCTTTATGTCCAGATCCTATGAGAGTAGTTGTTAGGTTGTGAGTTTGAGAGTCGCTTAAAACTCTATTTTATGAAATAAGCTACTTTATGACTTAATTTGTTTCGGATATGGACATGTATTCATGGTTACTATTTTAGCTTGTCATATTCTGAGTTCAGATTGTTTTATATTCATATAATCTGCTATAGGAACCTGATTGCTACCTAACCGATATAGTCAGGCCAGCAGTGCCACCCTGTGCTGTATCAACTAGGGTCTTGTGTGCTTGAACTGATATAACCTATCATATGCATCACGTTTATTCCTGTAACACTTTGTTCAGCACCCCACAACAGGCATGGATGTAGGGGGAGGTTTCCATCACACCTAAAATGTGAATCACGGCCTTTCATGCCAAATTGAGAATTCAAATCTCTATTCACATATTTAGGGGGAGGCTCCTACACCCATAGTTCGAAAATCTCAGTTTAGATTTCATATCTTTTGTAAGCTCTAATTGGGTTATCATCAATCACCAAAAAGGGGGAGATTGTAAGTGCAATCAAGTTCTATTGTGGGTTTTGGCATTGATAACCACCAAATTAGAGGACTAATGAGATTTATCGAGATGACAAGCAGGAAATCGAAAAATGAGGATGATGTACAGGTTGCAGGTGTTCTAATTACAAAAGGTGGCTAGACCTAGCTCAAAGGAGGTTTAAATTCTTTTATGTTTTGAAATTGAGTTTAGAAAAAGCCGTACTATTAAGAGGGATTTTAGGACAGTTGGTCAACTGTTGAACCAGATGCTCAAATTCTCATATTTACATCCTCTCACCTAGTCATAACAGTCAGCCAAATTTTACCTCAACTTACCTGTTTTGGCTAGGGCGGTAGTGCCGCCCTGTTAAGAGCGGCAGTGCTGCCCTTAACTGACCGTTGGACCCAAGGGGTATTTATACTCTTCAGTCCCAACCCACAATGGTCATCTACTTCACTCAGTCATTCTGCTCGAAACAGAATAGAACCAAAGCTCACCCTCTCTCCTCTATTGTTGCTCCTCCATCCCTCAAGCAAATCCTTGATTCCAACCATCAAAACTTGAGTGAAAAGGTAACAAAACTCGATTGGAGAGCAGATCCACTGATTCCCAAAGTCTAAGAGCATTTGGTTCATGTTTGGCTGGCGGTTCTAGGGTTTGTTACTCTTGGAGCTGCTCCTAGCCGGCTATTCGTCGCCCTTGGACTTGCCAACTCGTGTTGCAACCTTGGAAGGTTTGTAACCTCATTCTCAGAGCTAAGAAATCACCTCTCACTTTAAGAGTTCATCCTATTGATTTGAGAACGAGGGTAAGGCAAGCCTTTTGTGGCTTCCTCAACAACATGGACTTAGGCAAACCTTTGTGGTGAGCTGAATCATGGGATAAATCTTGTGTCTCGCGTGCTTCATCTTGTTTACTTGCTGGTTTAGTTCTTTGGTAGCTGGTGTTAGGGTTTGGTTGCTCGATCCACTCTTGTGTGGAGTTTCTGTGGTATTCAGTCTTCGAACTAGATCTTATCTTTCTATTGCAGGATTAAGCAGCTTATGGGGTCAGGTTGATCTCTGTAAAATCTCAGCTGTGTTAGATTTATTTACGAAGAGCGACAGTGCCGCCCTACAGGCCGGCGGTGCCGCCCTCTGTTCTGACAGAGTTTTGAGTTGAATTTTTACAGGCCTATTCACCCCCCTCTAGGCCTCCTTTATCTTTCTGTAGATCCTATAGTCACGATGTCGGCCAACTCGTTCTCTACATGCACGCGATGATGATGCAACACTTAGCATTTAGGCAACAACAACTCTTAAACTAAGGATACGCATACTAAGCTGCTAAGATAGCTCTAATGACTAAGATACTAAGCTAACTATCATTTTCATCAAGCAAAATGTTGGGTTCAGCTAACAAACACGTAGCTTTGCAATTTAAGGGTATATCTTTATTTCTACTAGTAATTTAATATATATTAGAACAAAGAGCATTTAACTACCTTAATGCTTAGTCTATTCTAAGGCTACAAAAATTATAGTGAGCACATAATAATACAATAAAGCTACCATAAAAATTTCAGGACTAAAGTTATCACCAATTTACCATAAAAATTCCTACAATGATTAGCTTAGTAATATTAAGCATTCTCAAATGATTTAATAGCTTATAGTATCAACACATATAAGTATGAACTAAATACACCAACAGATAGATCATAATTTTAGGAACCTAACAAAATTTGTTTCGCAATTTTTGGACACCTACACGAAATTATATTAATTACCAAAGATCAGCTCTGAATTAAATTAGAAAACCATTCTCAAATTCCTAGAAAAAGAAAAACCAATCTCCCGTGCGGCTCATGACATAATTTGGTAGTTTGTTTAGGACGTAACACCGAGGTGTTACAATGCTGCGCCTCCAGAACTGCCTCCTCCCTCTGCTCGGCGCAGCCTCCCCGCTTCCCTCCCCCATCCACATTCACCCCCAAGCGTGTCGCCTCCTCTCCACCTCCAATTCCGCAGCCACTATGCCGTTCTCACTCGAGGACTACCTTGTCGCTGCCTGTGACATCGCACCAGCCCAAGCCCGTGAGGTGTCCAAGAAGGCGTTCCACCAGTTATCCAAGATCTCACATTCCCGCTTCATCTCCGCCGCCTCCAACCCCGATGCCATCATCGCCCTGCTCTCTGACGCCGGTCTCTCCCGCGCCGACATCACCGCCGTCGTCTCAGCGAACCCGATGCTCCTCCGCGCTTTGGTGAAGAGCATCTCGCCCCGCCTTCTTGCTCTCTGAGACTGCGCCGGTCTTTCTACTCAACAAATCGCTCGCTTCCTCCTGGTCGGCCCACATGCTATCTGCCGCATCGACGTCGTTCCCAAGCTTCAGTTCTTCATCTCCTTCTACGGTTCGTTTGAGCCGGTCCTGGTGGTCCTAAAGAGGAAAGAGGAATGGTCGCCTCATCAATGCGAGCCTTGAGAGCTTAATTAAGCCTAACATAGCTTTGCTTCGTTAGTGGGGTGTTCAAAATATTGTTCAGTTGTGTTCAAACAACCCGTGGGTGCTTACCTTCAACCCAACGCCAAAGAATTTTTTTTTTAAGCCTAACATGGGGTGCCTCCCACTTCGTGGATGTTTAAAATATTGTTCGCCTGTTCAAACAACCCGTGGGTGCTTACCTTCAATCCCAAAAAGAAGGTTTTTTGCTAAGCTTGAGTTCTTTAACAGGACTCTCCTCCCATGGGAGTATGAGGTTTCCACCGCAGCGTCCAAGATACCAGCTATATTAGGATTGTCCCAAAAGATTCTTCTCCGCAAGATTGAGTTCCTAGTCAATGAGGTCTCTCGGATGGAGCCACAAAGTTTGTTGAAAGGCTCATCCCTGTTGTCACCGATACCAGAGAAGAGGATTAGTGGCGCGATTATTCTCCGCAAGATTGAGTTCCTAGTCAATGAGTTCGGCTTGTTTTTTCACAATTACATTGTTGAAAGGCTCATCTGATTTAAATGAAAGTTCGAGACCAATAACGGGGCATTATGTTATGAAGGTCCTGCGGAAAAGGGGACTGCTGGATAGCAGAACAAGCTTTTACACAATGATGATTAATTGTTTCGTTCTTCATGTTAGCTACTAAGGTTTTTGGGTTGTGCAATGATGAACTTTTTTAAGACTGAGACAATGGAAGTGTGCAGTGGTGACTAATTATTTCATCCTTCCATGATTTCTTGCTATTTGCATTAGTTCTGTGATGACAATGCCATTATATCTTAGCAATTCTCTTTTGCATGTGTTGTTTTGTTTTCGTTAGTTGCTATAATTTGTGCATTTGTTACTGAGCATAAGTTCATTGTTAATGATGTCTTTAATTCACATAATTTGTTGGTTGTTCTATTACTCGAGCACACCCCATTGCCACTGATGTATTTGTTCCTATCCATCTCTCTCACTTTCTTGCAAATCCACTTTTTAGCAGGTTTGAAACATCTGGAACTAAGGTTCTGGTGTGTGCTCACCCTCATAAGGCTTGATCAGTGCCTCTATGTTTTTCTTGATATAGCATGGCAAAAGAGATAACAAATTCAGCTATTCTTATATAGCTTTGAGTCTGATTTTTGCTGTGTAATTAACTAATGCTTAAATCTGGATAAGTTCTTAGTTCTCACATGCCTATTTGCTTGGCAGTAAAGAATTAATCCTTACATCTTACATATTAGCTTATCACCTTGCTGTAAAGGAACTAGACCTTCTTATATTCTGCTACTTTCTTTAATTGCTGGTGTGTGTAATTTCATTCTAGAAATCTAAAAATGGAAGCCATTTCTTTTTTAGAAAATACATAACTCTTCCTAGTGCCTCCTAATTCTTTTCCATGGATATGAAAAATAGAGTTGGCATGGTGCAAGCGGTAGAGTCTTACCGCCTATGTGACCGGAAGGTCCCGGGTTCGAGTCGCGATCTCCTCGCATTGCACAGGCGAGGGTGAGGCTCACCACTGACACCCTTCTCTAGACCCCGCATAGAGCGGGGCTCTCTGCACTTGGTACGCTTTTTTTTTTCCTAAAATCATAACAACACTCTTAGCAAAATGGCTCTAAAAGCATTATTGTACCAATTTACAGTTTCCTCTTGGGAATTCTGCACTTTTTGTTTATCTGATAGGTTCTTTCTTCCTTCTAGTAAGCAGTTACAGAAAGTAGCATCATTTATAAGCAGTTTCATAATTTTTGGCAATTAATATGTGATGCAACACTAACATTTACAATCTTTGCCAAATATACAGGGTGATCTCTCAAATATTTAGGATGGACTGAACAGTCCACGGGCTTAGATAAATGGTTATCTCTCTCAAAGGTATCTCAGGTACAATCTTTCCCTGCATAGGATTATCGAAGGCTCTCATATTAATTATTCTACTGCATTTAACCCTTAAAATTTGATGTTGCACTCAATGCTTCAAGAGTTACCACCATCTGCATTAACTGAAACCATTGTTCCTTCTTCCAACACTCTGTTTTTTTTTCAGAAACTGCTGCTGTCAATACCAATTAATCCACTGCACTTTTGTGGTAAGATTCAAGTGTTGTGCCACCTCTTGTGTATGCTGTAATGGGTACCTGTAGGGAGATAGCCATTGGACCGATTGCCATCGTGTCGCTCTTGCTTTCATCAATGGCTCAAAAGATAGCTGACCCGAACATAGATCCGGCTTCCTATCGGAAAAACGGTTTTCACTGTGACATTCTTTACTGGTATCTTCCAGTCTGCATTTGGTCTGTTCAGGTAGAGCCTTTGCAGTCTTGTGATTACAATGAGCCTACTTTCCTTGCTTTCACTAATTAGTCTTTTGCATCGATCCTTTTTGAGATTGGGCTTCCTTGTTGATTCTCTTTCTGCAATCACTGGATTCATCGGAGGAGCCTCCATTGTTATTGGACTGCAGCAGTTGAAGGGCGTACTCGGGCTTAGTCATTGCATAAATAGCACTGATGTTGTATCTGTCATCAGAGCGGTTTGGGTTTCTGTTCATGAACCAATAAGTATTTCGTGCTTCTTTTCACTATGAATGGAACACACAGAATGAGTCTTCAATAGAAAATTGCAATAAGACTTATTAAGAATAGTGTACCATCATGTATAACATATTTGGTTATGTTGGCTTATCTCTCTGTAAGCAGGGCTTATTTTTCTGTAAACCATTGAGCTTAGATTGAACATAGAAATAGCCAATATACCATCATTCTTTTCTGCCCATTTGACCCTTAATGTTTGAGAGCAGTGTTGTATAAGGCCCTGTTCGTTTCGGTTTATGCTGATTTGTTGTGGGAGAAAAACACTGTTTGTTCGCTGAAAAATACTGCTGAAGTAGTGCTGCAGAATAGGGCCAATATAATGTGATGTCACCTAATATGAAGTCATATCCATTCTGTCATGTGTATGTAAAAATTATTTCATTTGTCAAATAAAGTCGCAAAGTTAATCACTCGCGCATGGGCGCGCAAATTACTAGCAATATAATGATGACTGAAAGCCTTCCCTGAGACTGAGAGTGGCAGATGAAAGATCTGATGTAGTTGACTTAAGATGAAAAAAAATGGAAATTATTGGATTAATCGATTTGGAGCGGACGACTACTCTGTTCAAATGGCGGCGAGCTGTCTGACGTTGATGGGGTAAACTTCGGCGGTGGAGTTGGAGCTGAAGGCCTTGGCGGCGTAGATCCTGTGGGCCGCCTCCGTGGGGTGGAAGGCGTCCCAGAACATGTACTTGCTCCGGTCGTCGCAGGGCCGCTGCAGGGGCAGGCACGTGATCTGCCCATTGTTCCTGCCCACGCCGCAGCAGCCGCGGTCGAGCACCGTGAACCCGTGCGCGGCGGCGTTCGCCGTCAGGTCCTTGCCGCTCTGCACGGTGTCGAGGAAGATGAACTTGGCCCCGCGCAGCTGCTGCGCGCCGCCGCGGTTGTTGAAGCGCTTCACCATGGCCAGAAGGCCCTTGTTGTAGATGTCGATCGCGCTGTTGATCGTCTCGTTGCAGCCGCCGGCGGCGTCAGGCGCTGGGTTTGTATTGCCGTTGCCGTTGCCGTTGCCGTTGCCGTTGCCACCACCTCTACCGCCGCCGATGCCGATGCCGCCGCCGCCGCCGCCGCCGCCGATGCCGATGCCGCCGCCGCCGCCGATGCCGATGTCTTCGCTAGCAACGGCGGACTGATTACTAGGCCCAGACGGCGGTCGGTTGTCGTCGTTCATCCTAGCGAGCTCGTAAGGGATGCACCCGATGAGGCCGACGCCGGCGACGACGAACTTGCGGGCGCCGAGGCCGTGCAGCTGGGTGAGCTGGGCGGAGTAGCCCTGGAGGAGGAGCGCGGCGTAGTCGCGCGGGCTGTACCTCCGCGCGGTGTCGTAGTAGTCCGGCATGAAGTAGTTGTTGAGGTAGTCGTTGCTGCCCATGCCGATGAAGAAGATGCAGCGGCCCAGGTGGGCCGCCACCTTCGTGGCGTTGCCGCGGAACTCCGGCGTGTTCCCCATGTCGCTCACCGCTGCGCGGAAGTGGTCCACCTGCTCCGACAACGGGTAGTGCCCGCCCTGCCATTATTGCCACAAGCAGCAAGCTCTTGATCAGCTATATACAGGACAGCTCGTGTGCACGGCACGGGCACTGAGCCATGCACTGACCAGGTTGTTTCCTGTCTCGGGCAGGATGCCGGATGCCCCCGACGCGAAGTTGACGCCGCGGGGGAGGTCCTCCGGCCTGGCCGTGGCGTAGGGCGGGAGGAGCGGCGGGCGGAGGCGGAGCATGTCGGAGAGGAAGTCGACCATGGTGCGGCCGTTGGTGAAGCGCCCCGGCGGGCCCTCGTGGAAGTCGATGCCGTAGGGGCGGTAGTTGGCCCGCGCCAGGCTCAGGATGTCGTTGTTGTTGCCGTTGTCCACCAGCGAGTCTCCGAAGATGTACATGCACGGCGCCAGCGGCTGCTGCCAGCCCCGCGCCGCCGCGCCGCCGCTCGTGCCCGCCACCGCTGCCACCACCGCCACGGCGAGCGCCAGCCTCCCGTAGTCGTCCATCTCCTCTGAACCTCTGAACCTCGATCGTCGACTGCTACATGTGCATGCTCTCATCGCGAATATTTATAGTTGCCTCGATCGCTACAGAGTTACTACTCCCAACAGCTAGCTAGGCGGGTGGGTTGGAAGTTGAACCGATGAATGTAACTTAGCTCGTGAAACGCTGATGTCACAGGGAATCGGATCGCGCTTTGTCACAGGGAATGGACCGAATGGTTCAGAAAGCTGGTAGGAACAGCTGAAACAGCAGTAGCTTTGCTTGTTGCATTGGACGCGATACCGGTGGTGGTTAACGGCTCACGGATTCATGCGTAGCAGCAGTAAGTTTGTAGGAGTAGTGACTTGCATGGATGGATGCAGTGTGGTCAGGTCTCAGGTGAGCCGTGTGCCCGTGTACTGTGCACGATATCGGTAATTCGGACCTGGCTCCACCAATGCCGTTGCTTGCTTTTGTCTCCATTACATTTGTCTGTGCCTACGTAGAGTAGACTTGCTTGGTGTTGCAAAATGCTGATTTGAATGGGAATCGGTGCTCCCGTCGTTCGCAAAAGATAAGCATATTTTTATAATAACAAGAGAAAAGTCATACAGTACACGGTACTCTCTCCGTACCAAGGTATACAAATGATAAGCATATTTTTCTCAAGTGTCTAGGTAAGAAGTCAAACAACAATATACACATATAAAGTGATCGATCTAGTATTCACTAGCATGCCATTTGTGTTAACGCGTTAACATGCATAATTAGTGATTAGTAGGTGTATTAATATAGCACAATGACATATCATTGTTAGGTATATTTGTATAGACTGAAAACGGAATAAAAAACAGAATGCCGCAAAAACGGACCAAAAATCCACTATCCCGTTCCCGTCCTGTTCTCATTCTTTTACGTAAATGCATAAGCGAGTGGAACAAAAGTAGAAAATGGAATGTGATTTATTCCATCCGTTTTGATCCCTAAATTATCCATTATTCAACATTGCTCACAAGTTGGAGGAGTCAATAGCCATTTTTTTTAAATACAAATGATAGCTCGCTGGAACCCAGACATCTATATAATCTATAAACATTACTCCATCCAAAATTACAAGATGATTTAACTTAGCTTTTTCTATGCACTTAGTTATACAATATATCTAGATACACAGCTAAAATAATGTATCTAGAAAAACACGTCTTATATAATTTGGAACTGAGGGCAACTCAACATTATACACGCTTGCTTCTCACTGACTTTCGAGCAAGCTGCGTAGCGTACCCTGTAGCTATTGCCTTGGTCGGCGCCTTCGCGGTGTGTTCACAAGGTCATCAGAGCCTGCTTGCAAGGCTCGGAAATCGTTCAAGGATCCATGTCACTCCCCTGATGATTACCTGCAACGAAAACTTTCATGCCTAGCACCACCATGATACGTACTACTGACTGTGTTTATCGCGACAAGCTGAGCGATGATGCAATTGCAGAATTGCTGCCGCAAACTGTCAAACATGTGCGTTTTTTCGTCTAGAACAGTCAATGCCCGAGTTTTACGTACCAGTGCCAAATCCCAAGGGAATACTTGCCGCAAACTGTCAAACATGTGCGTAAGAACAGTCAATGCCCGAGTTTTACGTACCAGTGCCAAATCCCCGGGCTTGGCGGCAGGCTCCACGCAGTCTCGGCCATACCTGATCGATGAATCCATCATGTCAATATGGATTTGAATCTAGAAGTTGGGTGAGTGAACAATTCAGTACTGCAAAATGAGAGGAGAGCAGATAGATGAAGCTGTTGTTCGTACACAATCTGCAGCGGCTGCTGCTCCGACTCCGAGGCGAGCAAGCGGTAGAAGCTGCATCCCCTGCTGAACGGAAACGGCCTCCCCCTCCACTCCAGGTGCCAGGTGACCCCGACGGCGGCGGAGTCATCGGCGGAGATGTCGTCGATGACGAACTGGAGGTCGGGGCTGATGGTCCCCATGAACTCGCCGAAGAAGCCGATGATCCGCTCCCGCCCCACGAAGGGCCGCGGGAACACCAGGTCCTCGTACACGCAGCCCTCCGCGATGAGCGGCTCCACCGCCGCCAGGTCCCGCCGGTTCACGCCGTCGTAGAACTCCCTCACCACGTCCGCCGCCGTCTTCGCCCCTTCTCTTGTCGTTGCGGCTACTAGAACCAGCGCCCTCGTCCTGGTCCTGCTGCCGCGGCACGGGAGGCTAGTAGGTCGGCCGGGGAGACTGCGGGGACGAGCAGCACCGGCAGCTGCTGCCACTCCCACTCGAGGGCCATGCTGGAGCGGCATCGTCCAAGCGTGCACGCTGCACGGCGCACGCCAGCCTCTGTTGGTGCCAACAGCCTTATCTCTTCCCGTTGGCCGTTGCTACTTGTCACAAGGCCGTCAATATTTGTTGGTAGGGGCCACACTCAGTGTCTCATACAAACTTGTATTACTCTGCATATTATTGAGAAAAATACCGATTACACTGCATATTATTGGGAAAAGAAAAGAAGCAGCACAAGACAAATGGAAAAGAATGAACAGAGAGAGAAACATCTATGATCTATTACACTGCATATTGTTGAGAAACATATATGATATACAAACTTGTATGTGTACAAACAATAACCACATAACCACTGAATCTTTATTTACATGCTAGCATCCCATCCAGGTTTTTGGCTATGTAAACTAGGAAAGCAAATCATATGTGAAAGGGGGGCGTTAAGGATGAGTTCATGGAGGCTTGGATCTCCTCTAGGGTTCTTCCTTTGGTTTCTGGCACCAGCCGCTCCACAAACACGACCGTGAGCCCACAGATGCTTGCAAAGATGAAGAATGTGCCTGCATTCCGTCCAAGCCACACACAAATATATATATCATCAGAATTCAGAAGTTGCTGCAGAGTCATGAAACTGCCGGCATCAATGTTTATGCGGGTGCTAGTATGCTACACTCTGACCAAAATTCTATTCCACTTGGTGAACCTTGAGTTACCGTATGAGTTCCACACCAGGAGGAAGTTGAAGGCGTACGAGACGATCCACGAGCCAAGCCAGCTGACCAGTGTCACAAGGCTTCCTGCTGCTCCTTTCATGTTTATGGGAAAGATCTGCATGTCCAATTCAAGTATACTTTTAATCTGCCTGTTCTCAAAATTTTGGTTTGGACAGTAATATCCTTTTGTCTTTACTTATGGCAGGAAAGGTACCTCTGACATTATAACCCACGGTATTCCCCCCATACCCAGTGAAAAAGATCCACCGAAAATCTGATTTGCAAATGATAAAAATCGTCAGAACAACAGTTTATGTGAGCGCACGCACGCAAGCGAAAGAGCGGGAGAGAGAGACCTCTCTGAAGGTATTACAGGAAAATAGACAATAAATAGCAATGTACCAGAATGCCTGCCAAAGCCAGCACTAAGTTCAGGTCCTTTCCCCAGTGATGTTCCTGTTCCACGAAGAAAAAAAAATGAATACTTATTGTTCCGATGAATGCGAAGTTATTGACCTTCCTATCAGGATGAAATCACACGAGACCTTAGCTAAGAATGACAAACCAACTAGTAGGCAACCCAGGCATGTTCCAGCTGCAGATACCTGAAATATTGTAGAGTACATATTATCACTGTGGTTACCATTCATTCATTATTATCAGGAGAACATCTTTTCTTTACCATCAAAAGTGGTCTCCGTCCAGCTTTGTCCATTAGAAGTACTCCTAGTCCTGTCATCGGAATCTGCAGATCAGAACTCAAATTATACACCTACATTCAGTAAAAAGCACATGGCATGAGTAGACTAGGGTCTTGTTAAAGAGACCTGAACAGCAACCATAGCGAGCATTCCTGTATTTCCTGATGAGAAACCTGATTTGTAGCATGAGTACTTAGTAACTAGTATATTATTCAAGGGCGATCCATTGTAAAAGATCTCTTCTCAGGACCAAAATAAGTTTATGCGAGTTAAGGAAATAAGTCATTCTTCATTACCGGCTGAAACAAATATTTCACTGGCATAAAAGCAAATGGCATTCACTCCCCCAAACTGTTGAAGGACCATTAGCCCTACTCCAACCTGAACGCAGACCTGATCCATCACGAAACAACAACAGAAACATGTCCTAATAGGAAGAAAGGCATATTAAAGATGCTTACTGTAACAGCACGAATATAATCCTTCTGAAACAGGTCCAACATCTTCGACTCTGGTAATTGCTGAAGCTTTTCAGTAAAATCCTGAATATTAATATTAGAGAATTATCAAGAGGTTTCTTTCATGCATGATTAAGTTGAATGCTTATTTTTTTATTCTCAAGCTGTCAAGCACTCCATACTTTGATTCCTGTTGCTTCGTCAGAGATATCAGTTCCCTTTCCCCTTAGCTTCTGTAATGCTGCCTCAAATTCACCTGGCTGGCCAAACCTAGCCTGAGATACATCATACATGATCTTCATCAGGCATTGTTCTGACTTCCAAGTTAAAGTTATGAAGTTGTGGGTTATATCTAATGATATATGGTCAGAAGTAGAGATGGTTTTACCCTTTTTCATTGTTTAGTCCAGATGCAGATCTTATCATAAGTTCATAACTGCTTCAAAATTTAGTCCAAAAGCTAAATATTTATATGTAAAATTCCAAAATCTGCTCCCTTACTTATGATCCTTGTATGATGTTCCCATGAGTGTATCTCCACGACATTGTTAAGAAACGTATGATTTTAGTTTGTCAATGTCATCTTTAGTTCTAAACTTCTAATAAGGGAAATGTTCTAAACTTGGATGATTATGTAACAAAAAAAAAGATCAAGTATTAGTACTTCTGAAAAAGCTACTAACCAGCCATCTTGGGGACTCAGGAGTCACAAGAAGGCCAATCAATTGCAGCAAACATGGTGCCACTCCTACAATAGGAAAGTTAAAGTCTGTATACAATGACATGCATTGAATCTCTTGGTACCATTGTGCATCAATTTTGAAGTAGATATAGTTAAGAAAAAAGGGGTCAGCTAAAATTGGTGCAATATCTGCTCCTCATCAATGCACACCTAGAATCTATTCTAGTTTTATTTTAGGAAAGGCAGAATGATGCACCCAAGAAACTTTCTTACCAATGGTTGCCAAAGTCCGCCAGGTGATAAAAGTTCCCAGAACATAAGCAAGTGATGCCCCACAACATATCATAAACTGCATAAATAGGGAAGCTGTTTTGTTAAGATAAAGCTCTAAACATCCAGCAATGAACTCTCCCTTGACCAGGCACAGTACCTGGTTTACAGTTGCGAATCCTCCTCTAAGATTCTTTGGTGTTATCTCTGATATATAGACTGGAACCTGTTCAGAGGCTACAAGATTCAGACCAAATCCGTTTGAAAAAGATAACAAGATGGAATATGTTATTGTAATCACCACATATGAAAGAAGGCCAATTCCACATCCAATTGAGAACCTTCCAATGTCAAGCCACCAGAAATTCTACGGGAGAATACACGTAAATCGCACTATAGGATTGATTAAGTGAACTCAGAAGAAATCATTTCTCAAAAGTCGATGGTCCACTAATGTAGAAATACACTAATACAGAGACAGAGGGGAAGACCTGGGAAAAGGTTATCAAGAGATATCCAAGAATGCAGAGAAGATCTGATATCGCCATTGCCTGCATGTGGCAGCAAACAAGAAAAATTAGGCGATATTATGCCAGTCAATGTCCACTGCCCAGTGGAAAGCGAACAAGTGATTTCCTTTCTTGTGTAGCCGTAGGTGCACATTATGGGAACTATTTTCAAAGGGAAAAATGGATTAGCACTAACACTTCTTCGACCAACTCGGTCTGCCACGGTACCACTGACAATAGCTCCTAGCATTGCTCCAATGGTTAGTATCGAGCCAAAGACAGAGTACTGCATATGAGCAAGATTTGTGTCAGTTGCAGATGAACAGGAACTCGTGCATCTGAGCAAGATTTGTGTCAGTTGCGGATGAGCAGGACCTCGTGTCCTTTTCTGTCAAATCTTTTACAGCCTTACAGGAGGGTACCTCTGCTAAGGAGAGGTTGAGGTCATGCATGATGCCAGGCTGAGAAGGCGACGAGTAGCCCACCTGCAGGATGCAAGAACTCGAAATTAACTTGCCCGGGCAAGCAAGTGCTGACGATTTGCCACTTGCCAGAATATACCACCAGTTCTTGGGTCTTAATTGTCTTCTAGCTTGGTTATCTACTCCATACAGGCAGGAAACTTGAAGCATGCTGTAGCAGACACTATAGAGGGAGGGCTTGATTACCGAGATGCCGAACTCGAAGGATCCGGCGACGGCGACGGCGGTGCTGGCGACCACCACCGCAATCGAAGAGGAGGACGAGGCGGCGCCGGACGCAGCTAAGTTACAGCCATCACCGCTTCTCCCGGCCGCGGTGACCAGGAAAGGCTTCTGCGCTTCTTGATCCTCTTGCTCCATCGGTCCGGCCTGGGTTCTCCGCCCAGTCGGCGGTCACTCCCTCGGCTGCTGTTTTTCGGGCTGAGCTGAGGAGGACGACCGGCGACCTGCTCGCGTGGATCAGTCGAGTCCACCAGTAACCGAAGCACTGACATGTGCAGACGCTTGTCCGTTTCTTTCTTCCCTTGTCCTTTCTTTGTCATTTTTTATTTCGCTCATTCATCGGACCGAAAGGCTAATTGGTTACGGGTAGTTGGCGAATTTTTTTAAAATAGTACGGTAGCATTTTCGTTGTTATTTGATAATTAGTGTTTAATTATAGTTTAATTAGATTTAAAAAATTCGTCTCGTGAATTTCGTCTAAACTGTATAATTAGTTTTATTTTTTATTTATATTTAATGTTTCATGCATGCGTCTAAAGATTTAATGTGACGAAGAATTTTAAAAATTTTTGTAAAATTTTAGAAACTAAACAGGCACCTAGTTTAGTCGCCACAATTTTAATGCAGATGGGACCATGCATGATTTGACATTTCGTCAGGATCAGACCATCTCCGAGAGTTCTTGCAGCGTGTTTAGTTCCACCCCAACTTCCAAAAAGTTGCTACAGTACTTATCACATCGAATGTTTGCGGCTCATGCATGGAGCATTAAATGTAGACGAAAAGATAAACTAATTGCACAGTTTGGTGGGAAATTACGAGACGAACGTTTTGAGCCTAATTAGTCCATATTTGAACACTATTTACCAAATAAAAACGAACGTGCTACAGTAGCCCTAAAATCTAAATTCCTACGACTAAACAAGGGCTTATTTTGATCGAAGCCATTACACTTTTCAGGTTTTGCCATTACAATTCATCTAATATAAAATTTGCCATTATAATTGTTGAACTCGCTAACAAATGTCATTATGGACGTATCTAACATCCTTGGGCCCATCTACGGGTGATGTATCTATGTTGTATTCTTGTATAGACCAAATTACCATGGGGACAGAAGGATAAGGCCCGATTCGTATCCGCTCGATTCATCGTTTCAGCGATACGTGTCCGCGGCTTCCAGAACAGCAACCTCGATTCATGTCTCGCCGGCGGCGACTTTGGAGACCGGCGTGGGCGCAGGCAGCCGGTCGCGGCAGGCGAGTGGTCCATCACTGCGGTGGCGAGGCGGGTGGTCGCTGCGGAGGCGATCGCCAGGCGGCGCCATCATCATGCGGTGGCGCTGCAGCAGCGAGAATCATGAGGCAATCGCGGCGTTCGCAGGTGGCGGATACGGTCTTTGGTGTCCCGATCGTCGTTCAGGCGGTAGGCCGGTGGTGCAACCGACTTGAGAGCCGTCGCCGCCGAGAACGAATCGAGGCTGGTAGGGTACGTCACGCTGAATCGGTCTCTATGTCCGGGATGGCCTTATCCTTCTGTCCCTAGAGGCAATTTGGTCTCTACTGAAATACAGTAGGGGTACGACACCTACGGGTGGGCCCAAGGACGCCAGATAGGTATATAATGGCAATTATCAACGAGTTCAACAATTATAATGGTAAATTTCCTATTAGATGAATTGTAATGGCAAATTTCCAAAACGTGAAAATTATAATGACTTCGATCAAAATAACCCTTCTTTCTAAACTTATTCTCTAAATCGTAATTTGGAGACTGGCCCTTCGTTTCACTGAAAAGCCAGGCTGAAAAGTACTGTTCGCTGATTTGTTATGGGAGAAAAATACTGTACCATGGCTGATAAGTTGAAGCGAAAAACAACTCTCTATATCTAATCGCAAAAAAAAACAACTCTCTATATCTTTTGATTTTTTAAAAAGCTTTTCTATATCGTGTGGGTATACTAGAGAGATAATTTTGTTCTCTATCTTTGCTAGCTAGATATATGTAACAGAGGATATTAATATTTAACGATCTAAATAAAGAAGTTATATGAGTTTTTTTTACTAAAATCTCTTTGTTTTTCCTATCAATTAGGAAGGATTTAGAGGGACTTTTAAAATTGCTCTTGACAGAATAACAAAAATCTTCCCATCTTTGCTAGCGAAAATACCACGACAGATTGCCACCATAGCACTGTTGAAATGCCATTCGGTATCACAACTTTGGATGGTATCACATGACAATCATGTCATATCAGTATATGGAGGTAAATTTTATGGAAAAGAAGTGAACGGAACCGTAACAGTGGGGGGAGAAAGCTAGAGGGGCTGAAGACGTGGGAGAAATTGAAGGATGAGGAGGGTGCAGGCGTGGTGCATAGCTCAATGTTGCTGGGCTGTAAGGTGAAGTAGGAGACACGAGATCGTGTGCTATTTATCATGCGATGGGCCAAGTCTAGAAAGAGTATGGAGAGGATGGGAATAGACGGATATATGAGCTTGCATATAAGTCAAAAAAATAATGATGAGCTTGCATAGAAGCATGAGTACTCAGGCTGATATAGCATGACTAAGTATCAAAACAATGCTACAAAACTATTCAATGGCCCATTTAAATAATATTAGATTCTTTAAGGGCTATAATATCGGGTTTTTCAGTTGAGGGTTATATAGTCAACCCTTGGTATGTTAGGGGATTATGTACATTATTTTTCTGCTGTTTTTTGACTCATTGTTATGTCAACACCCAAGTAATATGCCACGTCAACGAAACCATCTTAAAAGATTATTTAGATGGTTTTCAATATTTTAAGGAGTAGTATAACTAGTTTTATAGCTGAGGGAATTAAGTAGACAACTGTCAAGAGTTAGAGGAGTTAAGCAGACCTTTTTTAAAAAAAATTGACCTCCGCAACAGACAACCAAGTCTTACAAAGTTGTTAGTTTATTCACTTGAAAAAATAATGGGAGAAAGAGCAAACACAAAAATCATATACAAATGCTATTATTACTTCGTCATCTATTCTAGGCAAACAAGCGATAATCTCCAACTCTTTGTTTGCCAAAAAGAAAAAAACTTCTCTCTTCTCTCTCAAAAAAAACCTTCTCTCTTATGTCTTCACGCAGTCTTTGTTTGCCAAACAAAACTTCTCTCTTGTGTCTTCACGCAGCAGCATCCAGAATCCTAGCCAATATGATCCTCTGAAGATAGCCATAAAATATTTTTTTTTCTAAAAACAATATCATCACAAGTATACCAAATTACTTAAATAATAGTAGAAAACCCCATGAAAATCAGATTTTTGTCCTCCCTTTCAAGACTTATGAGCCAACCTCCAAGCATGTAAGTAGCAGGTGGGTTAAACTAGTAGTTATATGAACAGTGTTCCAAAGAGTCTTTTCATGGTAGCAATGAAAAGGTGCTTAATTATTTTATTGCTTTCATAGAAAAAACACTTTTGACAACCACTTCGACTCATCGTAGCTAAATTATCATTTGTTAAGATAATCCCTCTCTAGAGGTACCAAAGGAAGATTTTTATCTTAAGAGGGAACCATGATATTATATTCCAAGTTTAGCAAGTAGTACGCATATATTGACCGTATTAGAGTTAACCATGATCTTGTAGGTACTAGTTAAACACTTCCCTGCCACTGAAAAGTTAAATATAGAGTGTTTTTATCTACTAGGTTAAACCAAGCCGTTAATTTATCATTGGTTAAAGCCCTACTGAAGGATGATCATCTCTGTAGCTACACGAGGATAGTTGACTATGTTATATAGGCTAGAAAATTACTTTTTTAGGAGTGAGGAGCATAGCCATGTGTATTTCTAAAACCTAGTTTGCGAATTATCTCTTATTTTTGTTTTTGATGATATTTTAATACTATGCTTATTTTACATTGTGCATAACAATATACCATCATTATTTTAAACATATCTACACCAATACTCCCTCCATCCTAAAAACTTAACACTAGTACAGAAACATGCTGTACTCCCGGTTGGGAAACCCTTCGGTCCCGGTTTTTCAACCGAGAGCACGAATCCGGGATTAAAGGGCCCCTCTTTTAGTCCTGGTTTTTCGCCCGGGACTACCTTTAGTCCCGGTTGGTAATACCAACCGGGGCTAAAGAGGCCTCCCGGCCTGGCCATGTGGGCCGACCCTAAAGGTTTTCTTTTTTTCTTTTTTTTTTGTTTCTATTTTCAATTGATGATTCGTTTTGGTTTTCGAATAGGTTTTCGAATACGCATTCTACGCTGCTAATAATATACGTATTCTACACACTTATAATGTTCGAACATTTTGTACAAACTAAAGTATGAAACTAACGTATATATTACGTGCATATACATATATTGTACGTTATTTTATTGTACGTTATTTTATGTACATATAATATGTATATATATATATATTACAAATAAATCTTGCATTGTATATTCTATTATATCCTTGGGATAACAAATTCACTCCATCTGGTTTGACTTCTATGTTTCGTTCATATCATTGTAGAACTCGCCGACAGGGTTTAAGACCTGGTCATTAAGAAATCCTGCTATGGTCTCTTGAATTGCTTTCAGTTGGTCACGTCGTATGACTTTTTCCTTCAACCATAGAGTCTTCAATAAAAGTTAAAGAAAAAATATTAATATACATATGTGTGTTGGTCACGTGATTACTTATATATGAGCAATAAAAGAAATTGTGAATATATGAATATATTTATATAACATACTTTGAGGATCTCTTCAGGAGTTCTTTTTGCGTACGCCATGATGAACTCGCAAACATAGTATCCACAGTAGTTGGTCCCCTGTTCTTGCCTCAGAACCCACTTTTACGAGAAAAAAGATCCGGTGAATTGAAAGCATGCATGGTGTTAATTGAATTATATATATATAAATGTAGCTAGTACTTACTTTGTGTGCGATTACATCCAGTGGCGCTTTGCAATGTTTTATGTGGTGTTCCTCAATGAAACTTTTCAAACATTGCGCCCAATAAAATAAAAATTTATTTTGGCATTTAATAATTGTTGCAGTTAAGAGATCGGGGTATATATAGTTGCTAGAGAGACCAAATTACCCTTGGATAATATCTATCATGTCTTGGTACTCTGTTTGCTCTTTTCTTA